ACTGTCAAACTTAGTACTTAAGGAAATCGGACGTTTCATACTTAATAACCTAGTTGAACCATCCTGAGAATTAAAGAAGAGGCGGGGAGCCCCACACACAGCACCCGGGAGAGTGGCGCTCAATCAATGGTAGTTACGATGATTTCTGACAAACCTCCATTAGGAAAGAGGGAGATGTGACCGTCTGAAGTCTTTCCCACAGAACTCTCGCTCTCCAGAGAACCCATGGAGATAGGAGAGCAATTGTGAGGGCCAGCATTTATTAAGCACTAACCAAGTGCCTGGCACCGTATCTGAGAATTTACAGATGCCCTGTCACTGGAGCCTTCCCGTACCTGCTCTGGTGGGCTGGTAACGGCTCCCCAAATCTCCGCAGTCCTGATCCACAGAAACTTACTTGGAAAATGAGTCTTTGCAGGTGTAATTAAGTTAATGATATTGAGATCAGTAGGTAATCCTAGATTATCATGTGGGCCCTAAATGCAATCAAAAGTGTCCCTGTAAGAGAGAGGCAAAAACAGGTAGGAGACACACACAGAGGAGAAGGTGACATGAAAATAGAGGAAGAGGTTGGAGTGATGCAGCCACAAGCCAAAGAATGCTGGCAGCCACCACAAGCTGGAAGAGGCAAGGTAGGTAGACCTTTTCCGCTAGAGCCTCCAGAGGGAGTGTGGCCCTGCCAACACCTTCATTTCAGGCTTCTGGCCTCCAAACCTGGGAGAGAATAAATGACTGTTGTTTGCAGCCACCTAGTTTGTGGTTATTTGTGACAGCAGCCCCAGGAAACTGACACACCCCAAGGCAAGTACTATCATTAACCCCATTTTACCGATAAGAAAACTGAGGCAAAGAGAGATTCAATTACTTGCTCAGTAAGTGGAGCCAGAACTCTAAACTTGTCGGGTGATGCCAGAGCCCCACGTTTCACCAGCAAGCTAGGGTGCTTTAGAATCTCCAGGAGACACTGCTGGGCTCCACTTGGCTGGGGAAACCCTCCCTATGCCTCCTGGTCTCTCTGCCAGGGACAGAAGATTGGTCACCCCTCGGCATGGCCTGTAAAGTTTTCAGAACAACGCCTGGAGCAGAGTAAGTACTCAGTGACATTTAGCTCTTATTTTGTCCATGAGTTTGCTCAGATCCCACTAATCAGGCCTTGGGCCCAGTATATGAAGGTGGGAAAAGGAACAGGGAGACTAATACGGTGATTATATATGATGGGACACAGGGAGAACTGAGGCAGGGGAAGGTGACAGGAACTACCAGCTGCCTTGCAATATTTACATTCCCATTCTTTCTTAGTAATAAAGGCAAATTCTATCTTTATTCAGGCAGAAAAGCACACAGCTAAATGGCTGAATTTTCAAGTCCCCCTTGTGGCTACGAGTATCTAATGAGATGTGAGTAGAAATGGTTGGGTAGAGCTTCCATGACAACATTTTAAAAGGATGATGCACCAGGAATTGTTCCCCTTCTACCTTTTCCCTTCCACTCTTCTTTCCTAGAACACAGACATGATGGCTGGAATTCCCAGCAGCCATCTTGTGGCCATGAACATCTCTGAAGAAGGAGAAAAACCACATGGTAAGGATGGTGGGACAGAAATACAGAGAGCCCCTGAGATTCTATCATACCGTCTATCCCACCAGCCTTGGACTGTCCACCTCTGGATTCTTCCACAGGCAAATATAAAATCCTCATTTGTTTAAATCAATATATTCCAGTCTCTACTGGTAGCTAAAAGCAATCACTTACTGAGGCCTGCTCGGGTACTGAGTACCCGAAACTCCTTGCCATCAACTGGGCTGATGCAGTGATGTGAGTAGGTAAACTCCTTCTAACAGACCCTACACACGTGGGGTTTGAGCAGTGGTCAGCTCTCATGTCTAAGGACAGTTCTGCCCATGAGTTAGCATCCATGAAAAACCCTGAATTTCTCTGGGAAGATAAAGCTTGCATGCACATTGGGTGCCTAATGAGGTCTATGGTTGAGAACTGTGGCTTTAAATAAAGTGACCCCACTCTGGTTCCATTAAAGACCAAGCTTTACCACCGAAGCACAGTCACACCTTAATTAATGCTTTATGAGCCTGAGTAGGACTGGCATGAATAGATCAAAATGCTGACACCATCCCCAGGCAAATCAAAGGAGCTCAGTGTCCCCATTAAGCCCAGTGAGTAGGAAGAGGAGTATATTTATCCAGAGAAAATATTTATAAATAGAAGCTAATCCTTAAATCCTTACTTTCTAGGAAATATTAGTGATATCGTCTCAATTATATTTTTGAACCCTAAAATCAAGCAAAGGTACCAAGTTAGAGAGTTAAATTGCACCATCTGACTGCCATAGAGTCTTGGTGAGATGGTTTCAATTTATTTTCTATCTCATCCTTGTGCATCAGGATTTATTAGGCTCCTGGCACTGCTGAATTTTGGTTTCCAAACGTTTTTACATCACTGAAACTTTGGCACCCACCCTCTTGTTCTCTTAATTTTTGCCCATTCCCCTTATTCAAAGATTAAACAAGAAGAACAACTGAATTGATAAAGTGATTCGTTCTCACTTTAATGATTCCAAATGCCTGGCCTTGTGCTCAGTGCTCCATGAGACATCGTCACTGATAAAGCTTCGTGTAGGGAAGGGGAATTTTCAAATATGAGCCAGGCCTTCTTCTCCACCAACGTGGGGCTTTTACTCTAGCTGTAGAGGTGACTGCTGTACATTAAATAGCTAGACAACAATACAGAGAGAAGAAACTGTTATGTCCAAGAGGATGATAAAGACCCCAAGCTCCGTGAGTGATTAGGAAGGGAAGAGCACAGAAGAAGCTAAGGTCATGGGGAGAAGCTTATCTTAGAGGCCAGCTGCTCCTAAGGGCAGGGGGCTCTCACATGCAACCACGGCATTGATGAAACCACCTTCCTCACAGCTGATGCCAAATGGACTGTTGTCATCATGCCTACTTTCTTTTCCACCATAACAATATTCATATATTTTACTGTACCTTCTTCAAAGCACTGACTTCCGGTTAAAATGATGAACAGAGAGCCCCCTACTTCTTTCTGTACCCAGCTTTGTGAAAACAGCGTTATGGTACTTGAGTATTTAAGCTTCTTAGGGGATTTGAATGAACCCAGGTAACCACCAGTGATCACTTTTGACATCTTTCTTGGAAGAGTGACAAGTGAGACTAAACATACCATTGGTAAAAATTGGGACTTTGTAGAAAGTTCTTATTCCTGGAATGCCTGGCTTCCCTCAAAGCTGGCTTTAATCAAGTGGGAGAGGATCACCTTTACCAAGAAACAGGTTGCATGGTGAAAGGAAATATGGGCTCTGGAACCAAAGCCATGTGAGTTTGCTATTGTCATTGACTCTGTAAATTCTGGCACATATTTCACCTTGGAGCCTCGGTTCCTGGTTTGTAAAATAATAATAATAACGCCTGCAAGAAGTCATGAGCTGAAAGTCGCCAGTGGAATTGCTGGGTCAGAATAAATGCCCATACACAGCTCTACTGACTTGGCATTTTAGGAGAAAAGATTTCTGTGCTTTTTACTCAATCATACGGAAAGGCAGTCCAATAAGACATTCAGCGTAAAGAATATATTCGCTACACTCGATGTACATACTTTCAACATTCTTATGTCCAATAGCTGCTCACACTGACCTTTTCCTACTGAGCTCTCTCTGAGACCGGCAGAGCTCCATTTGTAGAGAAGGCTGCTAGGAGTTGGGGTCCCCTTTCCTTCCTACAGCTATCTGTCACGGTAAAGACTCCCGCCACCAACAATCAGCAGGTGTGGGCCTGAAGGCAATCAAGAGTTTTCTTTGGAAATTGCCCTACAGACATTCAATCCTGATACGAAGCTTAAGGAAAAGTCCTCCTTGGCAGCCTGCCTGGCCTAGTAAACAAAACATGACTATGCCACCTTTGTGTTGTTAGAAAACCTGGAAGCTGCGTGTCCAAGCCAACTACATCTTTGGTCTTTCCTCCAGGGCAGGAGGACCTGGCTCTTAAAGACGTGTTGGCAGACGCCGTGCCATTCCTGAATTTTAGCAGCTAACCTCATCACTAGGAAATGGAGCATGGTCTTTGAATGCAGTGGGCTCTGCCTATCAGAAAAGAAAGCGGCATTCAGATATTCAACAGAGGCTGCCAAAACATCTCAAAAGGTGTTCTAAGAACTACAAAGTTGAAAACAAGCAGGACAGCTTTTGGAGTAAGAAGTGACTTCAGAGGGAGATCCACAGATCAAATAAGATATTTTAGGACACTGGGCCTGAGGGGGGTAGGGAGTATTTTCTACAAATATTAAAAATCAGGGCCATAGAGCACTCTAGCACCCTCTCACCCAGCTATGCCATGGGCTCTGGGATAGCCTCTTGCCCTCAGAACGAATGAGTCGGGGCTGGAACAAAACCTCTCAACCGTGAAAGGGCCATTTCTAAGTAGACTCCAGGAAACCTTGAAAGACCAGCCAAATCTACTGTGATGTCCCCCTCTTTTAAATATTGCAAGAGGTAACTTAGCATATGTATCTCTAAGTACGATGTTTCATTCCAAAAATAAAAGTTTAGAAAACACTATGTTTTAACAGTGAAGAGTTCTTGAACATTCCTAAATTTTCATCTCAAGCATTGTATCTTTTTTTTTTTTTTTTTTAAATAAACAACCCCCTAGAAGTTACTCATAGTGCCTGGTGAAAACTATCCTTTGCTAGAATAACCCATTATTCAAAATACCTGGTTGTGTACATGTGTCTTCACAGTCAAAGGCTGTTAAAAAGTGGCTCGATGAATAAATGGAGCTAGGAATATCTCTTCCAAATCGCTCACCCGCCCATACTAGGGCGCTTCAAGCAAAAACAAAACCCCTCCTGCCAGTCTAGACTCGGATCAGCTCACCCCTGTTATAACCACCTGAAGCATACAACCTTCCCCACGCAGACTCAAAAAGAGGCTAAACCTGGGAGTCTGTGGGGACCCCAAGTTCACTCACTTGTCTTCTGTGAAACTCTTCCCAGTGATAACGTTCTTCCCTTGGGGGACATAGTTCCAGTATTCTTCCACAATCCCGATGTGGTATGTTCTGGTAACTGTGCCAACCAGCCGGGCCAGACCCAGGAATGTGAGGAGGAGGATGCAGCCAGCCTGCTGCTTCCGAGGCATTTGTGGATGTAATTTTGGGCAGGCGGCCTGTCCTGTGTGAGAAGACAATCCTGCTTGGTCCCTCCTCCTCACTTGGCTCCTCCTTCTATCGGTAGCTTGGGGTGAGGACAGAGGCTGAGGACTTGTGTAAGCAGAGCAAGCTGGATGGGGAAGTTGCTGTGACAACAAAACTTGTACCAGCCATCCAAGAAACGTCTAAGTGGCATATTTATTTACTGCCCGAGCCAAACAGGCCTGTTTCCGTCAGTTTCGGTGCTTCGCTCTGACATTAGTCATTCATCTTTGCCGGGATGGTAGTGTGACAGCTTGAGCCGATGGCTTTCCCTCACCCCTCCTTCTTCCTTTTTTCTCCACACCTATTACAGGAACATATTAAAATCTGCAAAGTGGCCTGGACTGCGTGGAGCATCAGGAAATATTTCAGGCACCAAAGAAGGCCTCATTTCTGCCGGGAGGGCAGAGGGAGTGATATAATCACCCTCCCAGCATGTTTTATGAGGCTACATGAAACAATCAACTCACATCATAAAGTTCGCAACAACATTGTAAATACCCACTAATTCTCCATTGGCTCATGGACCATCTCCCCTAAATTCTCTCAAATCCCGCCAGCGAAAATGAGAAGCGTGGCTGCTTAGTTCAGCCAAAATTTTAGAGGCCATCGGTTTCAAACAGGGAGCTGCCTTTCTCGGGATGAATGAGAATGATAAGGGAGGAGTGCTCTTCAGGCACACGAAGACAAAGTTCAGCAGCAGGTCTTTGGGCCGAAAAGGGAGTGCCATTCTTCTGTGTGTTCTAATCTGTGTCCTGTGTTCTTGGTATTGAAAGAGACCTTGATCGTCCCTGGGGAAGCATCAGTGTGGTCCCTGTGCAGAGTTTCTCTTGAGGCAGCAGCCATGGGATGAAGGAAACAGCCTCCTGGGCTTTGAGGTTGGACAGACCTGCGTTTGAATCTGAGTCCCACCGGTTATGCCTTTAGTGGCATCGAGGAATCACCTAGCCTCTTTGAGCCTCGGATGTAAAACAAGGATTGAGGGATTCTTAAGAAGATTTAAAAAGATGATTATCTGCAGAGTGCCTACCATAGCCCCCAGCACAAGATAGGTGCTCAATAAACGTTAAACTCCTTCCTCCCCATTCACACCCTCCAAGAGAGACTGCATCGAGGGACTTGCATTTCCACTGACATTCTTGCCCTTTCTTTCCACTACTCTTTCCCAAAGTCCCATCCACCATGCCTTCCACCACTGTCAAGTAAGAGAATTGTTTTTCTTTAAATTTTAGATACTCTATAAAATGTTCCATAGCAAAGGTTTTGAATTAACATCCATCTTAACTGACAATATACATACTGAGCATTCTGCTTCATAGCCAGGCTCTTAACATCTTTGATTTATTGATCTGTTTTATGTCAAGGACACTGGTAGAATAATTGCCATAGCGCTTTTCCCTGTAACTCAGTCTCCTCTTCGTTGTGGGTTTGGGAGCTTTGTATGAGTTTGGCACTTTAATAGCCACTATAAAGTCAGACACACTGAGTAGACCTGAGCATGGGCCCAAAAGAATTAGGGAATTAGGAGTTTGGGGAATTTGGAAATGTCTCAGGCCAAACAACTTTTTGTTTATATTTTAGAGAAGCAAGCTATTTTGAGCTTACCAAAAACTTTATTAGGATACCCACCCACCCCCAAATTTGTTTAGATAGAAGAAACAAGAGATATAAGTGATACAGATCAAAAAGAAAAGAGTTAACTTTCCTACCCAAGATACTGAATGGATGCAATGAAAACCCTGGAGAAGGCATTGCCTAAAGTCTAAAAACTAGATCTGCAGGAGAAGGGGCATGGTCAAGAAAACCAGAGTGATTAGAGTAGATGAAATAAATGAATTCAATCCATCTGTAGCAAAGAACTTGGTTACTGGGGGACAAAAGAAAGGAAGGGTTTACTGAAAACAGTGAAATAGGGTTCCTGAAAAGTTCTCTCAAGTTTTTCCTCACTCTAGGACAATAAAGGTGCTACTCAAAGGGCATCTGAATTCCACAAAAAGCTAAAGAAAAGAAACTGGTGTAAGACAATAAAGTGCTCCTAGAATGCTCATTTCTAAAAATACAGTTATATACAAGATGTGTTTGACAATGTCTCAAAGTTGATTGGGAAACCTGAAAGTAAAAATGTTAATAAATACTTTCAACTCTATTAAATATTATTCAGATGTAAATAAAGCAGAGAAACCCGCCATTTATCAAGCATGGGAGATGGCCAGCCCAAGATATTCACTCCGTTCCTCAAAACACTCGCCAGGTTTGAGATATGGTAAAGTTGATACCATGCATCAATAGGAAAGAAATATAATCTTACATCAAACCATATTTCTCTGAAATATAGTACAGGCATACCTCAGGGATATTGTCGATTTGGTTCTAGACCACTGCAATAGAGCAAATATCACAATAAAGCAAGTCACATAGATTTTGGGGGGTTCCCAGTACATACAAAAGTAATGTTTACAATATACTGTGGTCTATTAAGTGTGAAATAGTGTTATATCTAAAATGTACACACCTTAATGTAAAAATAGCTTATTGCTAAAAAAATGCTAACAATCATGGGAGCCTTCAGCATGTCATAATCTTTTTGCTGGTGGAGAGCCTTGCCTCGATGCTGATGTCTGCTGACAGGTCGGGGTGGTGGTTGCTGAAGGTTGGGGTAGTTGCAACAAGTTCTTAAAATATGACAACAGTAAAGACTGCTGCATTGACTGACTCTTCCTTTCACAAAAGATTTATCTAGAGCATGCGATGGCGTCTGATAGCAAATTACTCATGGCAGAACTTTTTTCGAACTTGAAGTCAATTCTTTCACCCCCTGCCACTGCTTTATCCCATAAGTTTATACATTTTACATAAGTTTATGTAAAATGCTTAATACTTTGTTGTCATTTCAACAATGTTCACAGCACCTTCATGAGGAATAGATTCCATCTTTAGAAACCACTTTGTTTGGTCACCAGAGCCTTGTAGTATAATTTGAAGTCCAGTAATATGATACCTCTAGATTTTTGTTGTTGTTGTTGTTGTTGTTGCTTAAGATTGCTTTGGCTATTTGGGTCTTTTTTGGTTCCAGATGAAGCTTAGAATTATTTTTTTCTAGACCTGTGAAATATGATAGTTATATTTTGATGGGGATTGCATTGCATCTGTAAATCACTTTGGAAAGTATGGGCATTTTAACAATGTTTATTATACCAATCCATGAGCATGGGATGTTTTTCCATTTGTTTATGTCATCTATGATTTCTTTCATTAGTATTTTGTAGTTCTTCTTGTAGAGGTCTTTCACCTCCTTGGTTAAGTATATTCCTAGGTATTTTATTTTCTTTGTAGCTATTGTGAATGGTATTTAGTCCTTGATTTGACTCTCAGCTTGGCTGTTATTAGTATGTGGAAATGCTACTGATTTGTGTCTATTGATTTTGTAAACTGAGACTTTGCTGAATTTATTTATCTTTGCTTATGCATAAGAAGCAACTCCTCACCTGTTCAAGTTTTATCATGAGATTACAGCAGTTCAGTCCCATCTTCAGGCTCCACATCTAATTCTAGCTCTCTTGCTACTTCCACCTCATCTAAAGTTATTTCATCTACTGAAGACTTGAGCCCCTCAAACTCATCCAGGAGGATTGGAATCAATTTCTTCCAAATTCCAGTGAATGTTGACATTTTGACCACCTTTGTGAATCACAAATGTTCTTAATGGCATCTAGAATGGTGAATCTTTTCCAGAAGGTTTTCATCTTTTTTACTTTGCCCAGATCCATCAGAGGAATCACTATGGCAGCTGTAGCCATACAAAATGTATCTTTTTAATAATAAGACTTGGAAGTTGAAATTACTCCTTGATTTTCCTGGGCTGCAGAGTGGATATTGTGTTAGAAGACATGAAAACAACATTAATATTTTGGGTACATCTCCATTAGAGCTCTTGGGTGACCAAGTATATTGTCAATGAGCAGTAATTTTTTTGAAAGGAATCTTTTTTTCCTGAGGAGTAGGTCTCAACAGTAGGCTTAAAATATTCAATAAACCATGCTATAAACAGATATAGTATCATTCAGGCTTTGTTTTTCCATTTATAGAGCAAAGGCAAAGTAGATCTAGCATAATTCTCAAGGGCCCTAGGATTTTCAGAATGGTAAATGAGCATTGGCTTCAACTTAGAGTCACCAGATGCATTAGCCCCTCACAAGAGAGACTGCCTGTCTTTTGAAGCATTGAAGCCAGGCATTGACTTCTCTCTAACTATGAAAGTCCTAGATGGTGTCTTCTTCCAGTATAAGGCTGTTTTGTCTATGTTGAAAATCTTTTTAGTGTAGCCACCCATGATCTACAGCTAGATCTTCTGGATAACTTACTGTAGCTTCTACATAAGCCCTTGTTGTTTCACCGTGCACTTTTATGTTACAGAGATGGCTTCTTTCTTTAAATCTCATGAACCAACCTCTGCTAGCTTCGAACTTTTCTTCTGCAGTAGCTTTCTCACCTTTTTAAGTCTTTATAGAATTGAAGAGAATTAGAGCCTTGGTTAAGGCTTTGGCTTAAGAGAATGTTGTAGCTGGTTTGTTCTTCTAGCCAGACCACTAAAACTTTTTCCATATCAGCCATAAATATGTTTCTCTTTTTTATCATTCATATGTTCACTAGAGTAGCAATTTTCATGTCCTTCAAGAACTTTTCTTTTGTATTCACAACTTGGCTTACTGGTACAAGAGGTCTATCTCTCAGGCTATCTTGGCTTTCAACATGCCTTCCTCACTAAGCTTAATCATGTCTAGCTTTTATTTTTACTTTTTTATTTTTATTTATTTATATTTTTTATTTTTATTTATTTATTTTTTTTTAATTTTTTTTTATTTTGGCATATTATGGGGGTACAGATTTTAAGGTTTCAATAAATGCCCATTTCCCCCCCTCCCCCCAAAAGTCTGAG